GGATGGGGATGGTATCTGCTCGTATGTAATGTCGCGACAGGTCCGAGATGCGGATCCTCCCGATTCCTTGGGGCCATTTGACGATCATCGACTGCAGACATTAGCACGTAACCGAGTCAGTCTCGCACCCCTCGGGATACTATTCTAGTGCGCCACTGAGGAGCGGCCAGCTAGCCGGCTAGCAGTTGAATCTGTGCCATTTGAACGGGAGAACGCTACAGCGTTCAAGAGGCATCTCCACCAGACTCGAACGAGATACCAGCGTTGACAACTAGGCCTAAGCTGTAGTAGACATCCTGGCAACCGACGAAGGTGAAATGGACACGTCTGCTGCTCTCTCCAGCGATGAGAAGCATATGGCCTGCATCAGGCAGCACGAAGGACTCTTGCATATCTTCTTGAACAGCGCTCGAGTGACCAAGCGTTGGGCAATCTCCCAGTCGACGAGATTATGTTGCAACGGTCGTCACATGCTCCGCTGCAAGCAAGCCGCGTCGTCTTGATCGGCTCCGAGCCACCTTCGCGGGCACGGACTGGTACCGGGCGCTTCTTCCCCGATACTGCTGACATTGTAGAACGGATCGGGCAGAAGATGTGGTGGATCGCGCGCTCCGTCTGCGTGACTGCGCTGTGTGCTCAGCAGAAACCAGAGCGTACATAAGTAGGAAGGTGTGCGACCACAGGCGATGATGAGGCAACGGAAGTGCGGCAAGTCTTCCTGTGATGGTGGTGTCAAGTCGTCCATTATTATGATAACTAACGACGATAAGTGTGACAAGAAGTACGGCCCGGGTATCGGGTCGACAACTAAAGGGCTCCGTAGAGCCAGGGGCGACGCAACGAGGTCAGAGACCCTCCTACCGAAGCCAACTACGAGTCAATCAGACCGCTGGCGCGACCAAGTAGACTGGGGACATGCGTACCGCCGGAGCGGCAGCACGTACAACGCGGGTATGCTGCCATATAAGGCAACAAACCCCTTTAGGACCGCTTGCGCGGCCCCCGACGTGGAGTGCGAACACCGAAGTGACTGCGTGGCGTGGAGAACGCCAACCCGCCATATCTCTCCGAGGAGCTCAACCATCTGCGATGGTGCTCCCTTCAGCCCTTGCGCGGCCCCGACGTGGAGTGCGATCACCGAAGTGACTGCGTGGCGTGGAGAACGCCAACCCGCCGTATATATCTCCGAGGAGCTCAACCATCTGCGATGGTGGCTCCCTTCAGCCGCTTGCGCGGCCCCCGACGTGGAGTGCGATCACCGAAGTGACTGCGTGGCGTGGAGAACGCCAACCCGCCAATATCTCTCCGAGGAGCTCAACCATCTGCGATGGTGGCCCCCTTCAGCCCTTGCGCGGCCCCCGACGTGGAGTGCGATCACCGAAGTGACTGCGTGGCGTGGAGAACGCCAACCGCCATATCTCTCCGAGGAGCTCAACCATCTGCGATGGTGGCCCCCTTCAGCCGCTTGCGCGGCCCCCGACGTGGAGTGCGATCACCGAAGTGACTGCGTGGCTGGAGAACGCCAACCCGCCGTATATCTCTCCGAGGGCTCAACCATCTGCGATGGTGGCTCCCTTCAGCCGCTTGCGCGGCCCCCGACGTGGAGTGCGATCACCGAAGTGACTGCGTGGCGTGGAGAACGCCAACCCGCAATATCTCTCCGAGGAGCTCAACCATCTGCGATGGTGGCTCCCTTCAGCCCTTGGGCCCCGACGTGGAGTGCGATCACCGAAGTGACTGCGTGGCGTGGAGAACGCCAACCCGCCTATATCTCTCCGAGGAGCTCAACCATCTGCGATGGTGGCCCCTTCAGCCCTTGCGCGCCCCCGACGTGGAGTGCATCACCGAAGTGACTGCGTGGCGTGGAGAACGCCAACCCGCCGTATATCTCTCCGAGGAGCTCAACCATCTGCGATGGTGGCTCCCTTCAGCCGCTTGGCGCCCCCGACGTGAGTGCGATCACGAAGTGACTGCGTGGCTGGAGAACGCCAACCCGCCATATATCTCTCCGAGGAGCTCAACCATCTGCGATGGTGCTCCCTTCAGCCGCTTGCGCGGCCCCCGAGTGGAGTGCGATCACCGAAGTGACTGCGTGGCGTGGAGAACGCCAACCCGCCTATATCTCTCCGAGGAGCTCAACCATCTGCGATGGTGGCTCCCTTCAGCCGCTTGCGCGGCCCCCGACGTGGAGTGCGATCACCGAAGTGACTGCGTGGCGTGGAGAACGCAACCCGCCATATATCTCTCCGCGGAGCTCAACCATCTGCGATGGTGGCTCCCTTCAGCCGCTTGCGCGCCCCCGACGTGGAGTGCGATCACCGAAGTGACTGCGTGGCGTGGAGAACGCCAACCCGCATATATCTCTCCGAGGAGCTCAACCATCTGCGATGGTGGCTCCCTTCACCGCTTGGCGCCCCCGACGTGGAGTGCGATCACCGAAGTGACTGCGTGGTGGAGAACGCCAACCCGCCTATATCTCTCCGAGGAGCTCAACCATCTGCGATGGTGGCCCCCTTCAGCCGCTTGCGGCCCCCGACGTGGAGTGCGATCACCGAAGTGACTGCTGGCGTGGAGAACGCCAACCCGCCATATATCTCTCCGCGAGCTCAACCATCTGCGATGGTGGCTCCCTTCAGGTTGGCCCCGACGTGGAGTGATCACCGAAGTGATGGTGGGTGGAGAACGCAACCGCTATATCTCTCCGAGGAGCTAACCATCTGCGATGGTGGCCCCTGAGTCGCGCCCTTGACGTGGGTGTGCCTCGCCGAGGACGTGGCGACGCCTCCAGTCCTAAAACACCCCTGCTAGGGCCGCTGGACGTCGTCTCCTACGCCCACTCCCGCGATGGAGTGAGGTCCGCTAGATCTTGAAGTGGCCCCCAAGGGGAGGATTCCCTCGAGTGATCCCCGAAGGGAAAAGATGGGAGTAAGAAAGGAATCAAGTCTTCCTGTGACTGCATCGTGCGGTCGCACGCAGAGAACAGCGACACGGCAGAACAAAGAAGCGGCCACCTCTGCGTATCAGCCGAAATGTTCTAGGGATGTTTTGCTCAACAGCAGTCGCTGAGGCAATAAGCGACAGGAGCCAACACTGGTCTACGCGTGGGGCGGAGGACACTTGGCAAACCTTGTAACGATCGTTCACAGTCTGTTTATCGCTCTCATTGAACGCTCGTAGCTCGTGTAAGAGCGCTGTGTGTTGTAGCTACTCTTTTGCGAATCAATTTGTTCGTAGCGTCGAGCATCCGTCGTCAAGCCACATGGAATGGCTTCCATGCATACGATGTGCCGGACGTAGGGTTGTCCTCCGCGGCAAATGACAATGAAGTTGAGCCCTCACGTTCACACTGGAGCTCGCTTTGAACGCGCGTCGCGCTCCTTCACCATTCATAAAACATCGTCCGACGCTAAACTGCTTCCCGTCCTGCTCGTTGACGGAACATCATGCGCCTAATTGGTCTCGTGTTATTCACCGTGGGGCTCTTAGCGGCAAGCAGCGGCAGGACGGCCAGCGCCGAGGGCAACATTCGCAGTGGCGGTGAGAACGCGATGGATGTCCAAGTCACTATAGAGGAGCGGAGAGGTGGGGGAGGTGGCCGAAGTAGTTTCAGCAGTTACGGACATGGCGGTGGTGGTGGTGCTGCTGTCGGCGGCTTGAGCGATGCGAATCGACATCGTCACGTCCCCCCAACAATCTATCACGGCAAGGAGGAAAAGTCCCGAGCGGAAAAGTTCTCTACTTTCGATTGGTTTTGAGGCTCAAGCGAAGAACGACAAGTGCATGCGGCACTTTCGCAAACAATACGAACGAGAGACTCTCGCGGACGCGGACGAAGGGCTACTGAACCAGCACCGTTTGCCAGCTTTGCAAAGTGCGACACGGTAGTAGAAGACAGTTAATGAGAAACATACACCTTTTTTTGCGTGTTGATCGGTGTGGGTGTGCTTGAGTGAGTAAAGGACGATGCGACTTCGACTGATGACTGTCACTACGGGTGCAAAAGACCTGCACAAGCGATCATCGGCAGGTATAGACGCAACGCCTTGTCCGTCTCCTTTATTGAGCATGTGGATCTTCGTCACTCTATCTCCCTATCGTATGACTGGGTGAACTCTGCTTTAAGGTTTGCATCGATAGTCGATGCTCCTACGACCGGCGCTGGATTTCGGCGCGTATCATTGCACGCACGACCACCGTGTGCCCATACACAATGTCTGCTTGAAGCCTATTCGTTGTGGAGGAACATCTGCTGTTGCAGTTTCCTTGCATCGAGGGTACACGCCCCTTGCGCAGACAAGAGTCGCGAGCCAGCTCGTGCTCGTCTCAAAGCGTCGAGAGCTTCGCTGCATAGTGGTGTCAAGTAGAACACGTCACGCCGCCGTCGTGACGCCAAAACCGTCCGCATGTTGCCAGTTCACGGCCGTATTTTGTTCGCAGCTGTTATGGTACCATAACGAACTGGGACTTAACACGGTCCGACTGTGTTCGAGACCATGTGTCTGGTCATGGCTCCATTATGTTCGCGCATCAGATGCGTGCGCAAGTCTGGAGCCAGCGCGCGGACGATTCTAACCGGTCATATCGCCTTCTTCGACGCGGCCTGTTATTTCGACCAGATCGACCCTAACCAGCGAGAAGACAGTTTCTGGTCTCCACCTGTTTTATGCATCGACTACTGAGCTCCTCTCTATTCTTGATTCCTTACCGTGTTTATTGTATCAGCTCTCCCGTCTCCACTCGTTCAGCGATGACACGGCGTGAAAAGCCGCCACTCAGTCGAAAAGAGGTCCAAATGAATGCCAGAGGGACGTGCTGGACCAGCCCCTGATCCGAAGATCGGGAACATGTCTACTACTACTGTTCCGGATCCGTGGGGCCAGTGCCGAGAGACTCTACCGCTCGCGCGCGCGCTTTTGGTGGTTCTCCGCAAGTCATCACTTTGCTTTCTGCTTCCGCCTCGACAAGTCCGACGCGCTGAACCGTTCTCCACGTCCGACACGATGCACCTGAACCACCTCCTGCTCGCTACAGCTCTTGCGCTGTTTATAAACAGTGATGCTGTGGTCACGGCGGGCAAGCCGGACTCGATCGCCACCCAAGTCGAGCAAGTCGATCCTGTCGAGCAAGTGGATCATGTCGAGCAAGTGGACCCTGTCGAGCAAGTGGACCCTGTCGAGCAAGTCGACCATGTCGAGCAAGATGACCATCACGGCGGCAAGAACGCGACTGGTCCAGAGCAGGCGGCTGTGATTCCCGTGAAGGTCCCGACCGAGAAGGTCCTGGTGGAGGAGGACCCGTCGGAGGAGGGCCCGACGGAGAAGATGCTGGCGACGAAGGGTGGAGCGATCATTGGTGTTGGCCTCGGCGAGGAGAGCGACGAGGGCGACTCGTGGGACCGCAGTGACGACAGCGATCTGTTGGATGCGTCGGGCTCAGGCGACGACTCGAGTGAATGGGAGGACGCGTCGGGCTCCAGTGAGGACGCGAGTGAGTCGGAAGATGCGTCGGGCTCTAATGCGGACGCGAGTGAGTCGGGTGAGTCCGACAGCGGCAGCGCGCTGGACGATCTGTTCTCTTCGAGTGGCAGCGAAGATTTCGATGCGTGGCTGAAGTCGCTGAAAGATCTGGGACTGGCCTCGGATGAATCGGGATCCGACGAGGACGCGAGTGGCTCTGAGGAGCCAACGAAGGCTCCGAAGAAGACGAAAGAGGCCGACTCGTCGGCGTCGGAAATGATGAACTTTGACGACTTCTTTGCGGACATGAAAGGCTCGGGTTTTGGTGGAGGTTTTGGTGCCCTGATGGGGACACCTGCGCCAGAGACGGCGGCTGAATCGGAGGCGAGTGGGTCGGCCAAGTCTGGCAGCGACCAGTCACAGAATGCGACCCCTCAGTGTGACGAGGGCAAGTGGAGCAGGTTTAAGGCGTGGTGGGGTAAATGGCTCCACATTACGACGGATAAGGATTGCCCGGAAGACACACCATCACCTGACACACCTGCCTCGGCCAAGCTTCGTCCGGACTAAGCGGGGGATCATCCAGCTGTATGACTGCAGTTTAGTGTCCGACGTTATGCTTCTAAGGGTACAGCATAACGATCAATATAAACATTTTTTGCCGAAGTGCCGAAGTTTAATGGCGTGTCAAGACCGCAATGGCTTTGCAGACAAGTTGGACTGTGGATCACTGACGCGCCCGTGTAGCAATGACCGAGAGGGTGTGATAGAGCAGTAGTAGTCGGGCGAAGTGGTAGGAAGAAGCCTATGGTACAAACTCGTGTCATTGTGAGCAGTGTAAAAGTGGCAACTCTGAACGAGTGCAAGTAGACACGAAATGGACAGTCTGCGGCTCTGCTGAATCCATGTCGACTCGCGATGATAGTGAATGGTACATGCGACCATCGAGCTCACACACGCAGCACCGGATCTAGTTGCAAGGTTCGATCTTGCCGCACGCTTGCGGTGCTAATTGAACGCAACGAAGCCATAGTGGTGGGGGGCCAACCACCGTTATTCCGGCGAGCAGTGAAATACAGCAGCTGGATCTCGTATAGAGTGCTTTATTCTATCGGCAGCTATTGCTTCGCTGCTCCGCCTTCTTTTGCCAATCGATACGCGTCCGTGAACCCATTTCGGTTCAATTGAACGCACTTCGAGTTTTTTACCCCTCGAAAACAACGCGCGCAAAAACAACCAATCAGTCGACTCGACCCGATTGACATGATCGAGACTCGACCATCTGAGCTGCACCGGTTGCTAGAGCACGACGTGCACGAAGGCGCCGACTACGACGCAGTCCGCAAGACGCTGTCGCTTCCGTCGAATGCGACGGGACCTTCTGCGGAAGGATCTTCGTCGCGCAAGTTCAGGTGAGTGCGTACATACGCTATTGAAAGCCATTGTTTACTCTGGTGATGTGACTCACTGGTGGTCCGCTCGGTAGCTGGCGGACGTTGTGGGCTTATGCTGGACCGGGATGGCTCATGAGCATTGCCTACGTGGACCCTGGCAACCTCGAGAGCGATCTCCAAGCAGGAGCGTATGCCGGATATCAGCTCACGTGGGTCCTGTGTGGCGCTACAGCAATGGGCTTCTTCCTCCAGTTGCTTGCGGCTCGACTGGGTGTTGTCACGGGCAAAAACTTGGCGGAAATGTGCACGACAGTCTTCCCGCGGTGGGCGTCACTCACACTGTGGATCATGACGGAAATTGCAATCGTTGGCAGTGATGTGCAGGAAGTGTTGGGCTCCTCCATTGCGTTTCAGGTGCTGTTCAACTTCCCTCTGTGGCTTGGCTGTCTGATCACAGGCTTTGACACCTTTACGTTCTTGCTGCTCCACCGCTACGGGATCCGAAAGCTCGAAGCGCTGTTTGTTGCGTTGATCGTGGTGATGCTGGTCTGCTTTTGCGCCAACTTGGTCCGTGGGGACGTTGCATCAGCAGACGTCATGCGTGGCTTTGTGCCGCGCGTGGATCACTACGCCGTGACGCAGGCTGTGGGCATCATCGGGGCGGTCATCATGCCACACAACATCTTTTTGCACTCAGCCCTTGTGCAATCTAGACAAGTGGATCGACACAACGAACGCAACGTCCGCGAGGCGAACAAGTACTTCGCGATAGAGGCCTGTCTGGCGCTGATGGTGTCCTTCTTGATCAACTTGGCAGTACTGGCCGTCTTTGCAAAGGGGTTCTTCTCGCCAGACTGCACCGCATCTTTCGACACCAGCGGGGTCAACACAGCTTGCGTCTCGGTAGCTATTGCTCATGACAACACGTACGGGCGCTGCCATCTTGCCAGCGGTGACGAAGGCTTGTGTCAGGAGATCGGGTTATCCCAGGCTGGCACGGCGCTCAGCGGCATGCTAGGACAATACGCTGACGTCGTTTGGGCAATCGGTTTGCTGGCTGCAGGACAAAGCTCGACCATGACAGGAACTTACGCGGGCCAATTCGTCATGGAAGGATTTCTGCAGCTTCAGCTATCACCGTGGAAGCGCGTGGCGCTCACCCGATGTGTGTCGCTTGTTCCTGCACTGACTGTCGCAATCTTGAGCCAGCAAACCCCTGCGGATAGTGACCACATGGACGAGTTGCTCAACGTGCTGCAGTCCATCCAGCTTCCATTTGCTTTACTTCCAGTACTGATCTTCACGAGCTCGCGTGCCATCATGGGAGGCTTTGTGAACAACAAGGCAACGGTGGTAACTGGCTGGCTGTTGGCTGGTCTCGTGTGCGTCGTCAATCTGTACTTGATCTTCACGAAGCTGAAAACTCTAGCGTTTGGTGTCACGGGACTCGTTGCTGTGGGATGCACTTGTTGTCTGTACTTTGGCTTCTTGGGGTATCTCGTTCGTACTGGAATGACTCTGGCCGCCGATCGGACACGCACAGCCTCTCGCGAATATCAAGACTAGAGCTGCACGTTCTTCGCTCCTAACAATACATCAGCACTGCGTCATCAACCAAAGTGGCTCACGCTTCTTCCATCTGCAGACCTATTCCAATGCTCCAATCACTCAGTCAGCGTAGTTGCGTCCGTATGTCTCAACGCGTCGGACTCGTCGTCTCATGGCCGTTCTGGCGCGTGCCTTCCACTGCTTCAGCAACTTCTGTGCCCGACATTGCACCTCGGCATCCTCAGCTCGTCGGAAGAGTCGCGTGAGTGCGACTCCAATGCGCGTCTTCTCGAGCATCTCCAGCGATACAAACAGCTTCGCCAGTGCCTCGAGAACGCTCAGCATCGTAGCGGTCGTCTTGGCATCGTCCAGCTCCTCCTTCAAGTACTGCACGTGCTCCTGCGACACCATTTTGTGGCCGTGATGGATCGTCGATTGTCGCTGCCGCTTCTTCTGCAGCACAGACGGAGCTGTAGCCATAGCAGACGCGGCAGCCGCGTCCCCACGCAGCACATATTTTTCTATCAAATGGTTGCGAAAGTGTCGTTGTTCAACACCAACACATGGCTACATTGTTTTGCCGAGCGAATAAAGTGGGTATATGGCTACAGATCGCGAAAGTAAGTGGACATTTTGCCAAATAATCGAAAGATTCGGCTGATATGACGAACTGCTGTTCCAAGTTGTAAGCCTAACAATGATTATCGTTGGTGTGCCCAGAGCTTGTCTTTGTATGGATAAATAACATTAAATCTCCGACCGCACTTGAATAACATATTGAATGTATTGACCAGTAGTGTGAGCCTAGTGATATAAAACTCTTTTTTGGGGAGTCAAATTGCACAAAGGCAAAATTATATCCAATCAGAGAGCAGATGGACAAGTACAGCTCTCTCAGCTACCTCTCCGACGTATCAGGTCGGAGAGAACAGTGCTGTTATGATTATCACTATACAAACACCAAGTTATTCGCATATTTTAAAAAATAATACACAAGCTCCGACATCTTCGACAAAAGGTAACTCAATCGCATATTTTACAAACAACATCCAAGCTTTAACATCTCCACCGAGGATGAGTCTGACCGACCTAGCACCTGCCAACACAAAGCGTGCCCGTGAGAACGCAGCGCGCTCATTTTTAAAGTTCCTCGAGCAGGAGGAGGTTACTCGGGAGTACCTGCAACAGTGCATGCAGCGCGAGAGGGCACCTCTCGCACTAGAAGCTGTGATGATCAAGTTTGGCATGTATCTCGCGTTTAAGGAAAGCCGAAAGGGACAGCTCTTAGCTCGACACTCGGTCATGCAGTACTTTCGACAAGCCAAGAATTGGCTGCTGGAGCAGTTCCCACAGCATCGAGCAGTGGTTGAAAAGAATTTGCTCAAGAAGGACAGACACTCGAACGCCATTGCATGAAGCGTGAGTCAGGGTCGTTTGTAAACAAGGCCCCAGCATGCACAAAGTCTGCTCTCAAGAAAATGATGGAGTACTTGTATTCAACTGCGGTTACTAGTGCTGACTACCAAGATGCGGCGCTGTTGTGTTTGCTTTGGTACCTCTTTGGGCGTGCATCGGACCTTACAATGCTGCGGAAGGCAAACCTGTCTATCGGCTCGGGCGACATATTACTCGTCCGATTTATCCGAATTAAAATTTCTGAAAAAATACGCACAGGGAACATGTCATCCGGGTAGCACACGGGCGGCATGTAGTCCACCATGTAGCTACTTACCTGTCATTGAATACAACATAACGATCAATGCGCAGTCAATAACGCGCGTATAAATACACATGGACACGGTGCACGCGGGCGGCATATAGTCCACCATGTAGCTGCTTACCTGTCATTGAATACAACATAACGATCAATGCGGAGTCAATAACGCGCGTATAATACACATGTATACGGGTGCACGTACGCAGCAAACGCGTTGTGCACCATTTACGCACGGGGAACAGGTCATCCGGGTAGCACACGGGCGGCATGTAGCTGCTTACCTGTCATTGAATACAACATAACGATCAATGCGCAGTTGATAACGCGCGTATAAGTACACATGGACACGGGTGCACGTGCATATACATTGAAGCCCCATCATGTACAACTCGTCCACAGTCCACGTGTCGTGGTAAATTGACACGTTGGCACAACTCACGATGTAGTGAAGCAGATCAGCACGTAATATTTAACTTTCGAACACGCACACTAGGAAAATCAATTTGCCTCAATCAATCATATTTTAAGCCCCCTGTCCACTTATCATTGCTAGCACAAAAGTGCACACGAAATTTCACACTATTACACAATTCCGTACTGGCTTTGTCCCGGTCGGAGCGTGTCGGAGTTTGGAGATTTCATGGTATGGCAAGTTGTAGCTATGTGACGAAACTCTGCTCATTCGTTAAAACTAGTGCACAAACGACTTCTTACCGCTACAAAAGCATTCACGTACGGCATGGCATCAGTTGAAGCAGCTGACGAAAATTTACAAGCATTTGCTTACGAAACGTACAACTTTTGCACGGTCGATTCAGAAAGAAGCGTGACTACTGTGTACGCAAGACTAAGTCAGCACGTGCATATGAAAGCTCACCGCACCCGGCATCGGATAGTATTCATCAATGCCCAATATCCAGTCTATTCATTCAAGCGAGATCTACGATACACACGACTTTGTGTTAATTATAGTCGTTTAAAGCCAAGAGAACCGATGGGTCTTTTGAAAAGGTTTTCCGTTACAAGTGGCATTTCTTTATCGTTGCGTATGGAGGTGACGGATTGCAACTTCCTGTAGACCTCTGCGCAATAAAATGTAAATTTTGGGTATTGATTAATAGCATGCAATCTAGCATACATCATGCTATCCATTCTGAATACTGCAGTATTATAATCGATATTTATAAGATGTCGGCTCGGTTGAGGTCAGCATATCTCGAAACTCCATCACGTATGGTGCCGAAGATGCTCTCATTAAACAACGTCTGCTTCCATACCTTCAGCGCTATCATTTGTCAGCAGCAATATATGCTGTTCTTGCGTGTCTAGGACAGACATCAGACCCACGTCAATGTTTGATGTCTTGAGTCTACAACTTTAGAATCGTTTTCTTTGATGACCGCTTCAACAATGGTAAGCATGGTCATTTGCAACTCGACAAAGAGACTGGTACCTGTAAAAGACACACATTCTCGAGTTTTATTTAGTGCACAGAGAGCTGCACCAAGTTTCTTATCAGTGGTAAAACATGCAGCCTTATTTTTATTGTGCCGGCAGACCCATCCACCTTAGCCATGATACCACCAACATATTTTGATCGGCTTGCTCACAGCAAAGTTATCGTCTCTCACGCTTCCAACGTCTCGTCGATTTCATTACACTTTGTCGGATTCATCTTTGTATTGATACCCAACAAGCATGCTAATCAGCGCAAAATGGATTCGCCTTGCCGGTCTCAATCAGCACTCGTAGGAGCTTATAAACGACTCTGTGGTACAGCGTATCGTATCTACGATATTCAAATTGTAGAAAGGCAACATGTCGTAATGGAATGGTACAAGATATATGCTACGAGTAGTGATACTTTGGTCTATCGATGAGGTCACATTAATATGTTCTTCGTATGAATACATTACGCGGCAGTGGCATAAGCCTCATCACTGAGATGGCTCACTATGCAATCGGTAATCCACTGAGAAGACTCGCAACGGATGGCCTAAAGGCGTCTGACACGCGTCCGTAGGCAAAGTACTTTTGCTACGTGTTCTTAGTTTCTACAGGTTGTAATTCCAATTGCTAAAAGGACGGAGAAGAAGCCCACGCCGGCAACATCAGTTCACGCAAGGTCCTCTCTGGCGCGTGTATTAGGTAAAACGACTTGAGTGACAGTTAGATGTATTGATACTGAATTTACCTTTCCAACCTATGGCTCCCGTAATTCCTCAGCTGCCCTTGCCCGCAGGTCTTCTCCCTATCACCCATTTCGAGTCATAACCCAGTTTCACTATTCCCTATACACCGTCAAGCAAGAGAGAAAGCCGCGATTTGAACAAGAGCAACATATGTCGACACGTCGTTTTCCATTAGCGTGATGCCTCTCCAGTACGCGCTGCGTTAGTCGTCTAAAATTGCCGACTCATTAATGTACCTCGGCAACCGATGACAATACCATCACAAACCATACCGCTCGAACCGACCGCATAGCGAAAATTGGTTCTTCGTATCGTAGCGAGACGATAAACTCAAAAGTTTCTGGACCTTGTCTAAAAGCGAGCACTCGCATTCGCGATAAGTGTAGACATGTGCGACAAAATGACTATCGACGCGCTCATGAGCTTGCCCGAGTAGAAGCCAGCTCTACGGACACAACGCATGAGCCAGACCTCGATGGTTCGATGTATGCATCACTTGCGCCACAACACGCACAGATGCCGATGCATCAGCGCGAAAGCGATCGAGCTCGATAATCGCCGCGGTTTTGAGTCCTGTACGAGATGCAAACGCATCGTTAGCGTGCGCGACGCAACATTTTTTCAGAACACCGAATTCAAGCTAGAATAAGCTGTTTATCCTTGAGCTCGACGGGAATGAGCGGTACAAGGACTTTGGGTCCGTTTTTTGCATTGAGCCGTACGTTCTTGTGTGTCGAGTGTTAGAAAGTAAACATTAAGTAAAGAAAATGAATTGTGATACAACGCGCGCCAGAATCGTTCCAGCCCCCCCCGTCAGGGGTCTCGTCAGTGGCTTGTCAAAGTTCAAGTTTTGAACTACCCGACCCATACCTTTGTGGTGCCTAATGCAACACATAGAACCCTGTAAAAGATTCCATATATGTCCTGGCGGAAGTAAAATCTGTGGAGTCGATACAAGTGCAACTTGCACTTCCAACACCGAGAACCTCGCCAGGTTTTCTTGTAGATTAGGGGATGTGAAGACTCCAAGGTCGATTTGGTTGATCACCACCTCATCGGCACGGCTGCGCAGTACTACTTCAGGCACGCTAACACGTACTGGAATCAAATGCTGACGCTCGACTACGTCATGCGCCAGTTTTCGATAGAGATACAAGACGACGATCATGGCTAGCCATTACAATAAGATATTCAGGCAAAAGAAGGACTCGAAGTGTCCGGGGATAAGCATTACTGTACAATGTGGCTGTCATCCGCAAGCGCGGAGGCACGGAATTGCTACTCGGGGACGAAATCGATGACCACGCGTCGCCTGAGCTGATAAACGTCATTTGCGCCAAGTATAATCGAATTCGTGTCCACGACTAGGAAAAGAGTTGATGCTGTTCGCGCTGTTAATGCTGTTCGAGCTGTTAATGCTGTTCGCGCAGTCAATTGATATCGGCATCGGTGCGGTTGCAAGCGCAGTCGTCGCTGCGCTTGTTTCATAAAGAGAAGGAAACCCATTCATGCTACGGTTGAGGGGAAGCAGGACAATCCTACGGTTAAATGATGACGATAAGTATACGAGGAGATGAGTGCGTACTCTGTGGTGTTCTGCATACTGTTGTAATGTGCGATTGCGTGCCTTTTATCACTTACTCAATCTCACTATACACGCTCACATTTTCCCCATTGTCTCTGGATCGTCCAAGCGACCGGCTGCTCTTTCTTCCTCCTCACCGATCCTGATCTCACTAAAAAGTGAAGCGTCGTCGACGCATCGCATTCCAACATTCGCTCTTACTGAGGTTTAAAGGACAAAGCGGAAGCGGAATAATTATAATTGATACTTATGTGGCAACATGGTTGAAGCACTGACATATAGAGGAGACATGAGTAAGAGCTACGCACATACAGAACAGCAAGAAGAGCAATAGCGGGATAGTCCTCGCTATCTGCGACGTAGGTGACATCGATTTGTGCGACTTGAAATTTGACAGCGGCGCGAGTCGACAGCTCGTGAATGGAGGGACGTGGCTGACTGACTCGCCCGATGTGGCCACGAGATCTTCATCGCTAATTTTGAGTCTCTACACCTGACTCAAGCTAGAAGTGTGCCATTAAATGTCATGTCGCGCGGTGTCGAGATCACCGTGACGCTTTCGGATGTGTACCTGGTGCCGCGATTACAAAATTGTCATCTTTTATGGCACTTTGAAAAGATGGGATTCGAGCTTGTCCACGAAGGCGTGATTAGCGCATTTGCTCGGCGGAGAAACATCTTCATCGCATTCGACGTAGTCATAGCAAGCAAGTTGATATAAGGCGAGATAAACACGACGCGAGGCAGACACTGTGCAGGCGACACCATTAAGACGATTTTTTAGGCGAAAGAAAAAATTGGAGATGTAATGCAAGGTAAAAGGAGACGCACTGCTGCACTTGTATCAGCGTCTTGTAAATTCGGCGCTCGATCCTGTCTGTCGTATAGCGCGAGACTCAGCATCTTTTATCTGGATGACAAT